AAATTTACTGATGGAGACCAGATAAAAACCCTTTCAAATGCTCCTCTATAAATATCAAGTATCATTGATACAAGTAGGGTGCTCTTTCCAGAACCAGACGGGCCTACAATCATAGCTCTCATCGGCAATTTAGGGACGACCTCGTGCTTACTTTGCTTAAAGTCATATTTGATTTCATCAATTGGTTTTACATCAGGCGTAATAAAAATAATATTAAAGACATTTAGAAAATAATTTAATATTTATTATTTTATATGAATAGAAGTTATTCAGATTATATTGATATAATAGATGAAATAGAGAATATAGAACAAGTTGTTATAACTAATAATAGATGTAAAAAAATATGTTATTTTGTTTTAGAATTAATTAAGTTTGTTATACAATATATCAAAAATAAAAATGTGAATATTAATATAAATGGGAAAAAAGAAAAAGAATAAGACTGAACCAGTTGTTTCTTCAACTGATGAAGAAATTGTTAAAGAAACATCAGTTATTGAGTTTGCTTGTCCAATGTGTAAAAAGATGTTAGAAATGAAAAATGAATTAGAAATACAAAAGAAAGGAAACTGTAAATGTTCGTGTATTCCAACAAGTTTCAAAATAAGTAAGAATGATAAGAAAATGAATATTGATAAAACTAAAGACAGTATCAACTTAGAAACAGATGTTCATAATATTGCTATCAAATGGGGAAGGCATGCATCACCATCCGTTAATGGTGATAAGGAAACTCAGGAAACTATACGCGAAATGCTGAAAAAATAATAGTTAAAATTATTTCTATTATGATTTATAATGCAAGATGTTATAAATAATATTATTAAATTCATTGATGTAAAAGAATTGAAATTGAATAATTTCATTGAAGAATATAACGAAAATGATATATTAATTAATTTTGTTAATGACTTTAGAAATAGCAAAATTGATTTTAACATGTTTTATAATTCTATTAATTATGCTGATTTATTTGAACAATCAGATTTAAAATTCTATTGTAAAAGAATATATTCATATACTTTAAGATTTATTGCTAATTATGATAATAAAAATGCTATTCAGTTTTATGAAATTACATTGAGAAGAATGAATAATATTTACAAAAATAGTAACATTAATGTTGTTAATGTGTTTGAATGTATTAAATGTTTAATAGTTTATATTACAGATAATATTGAAAAGTTTCATAAATATTCAATATTTAGAAAAACTATTATTTGTAATTTAATTGGTAAATTGAATAATAATTTAACGAGTTACACAATAACTAATTTTGAATTGACTTATAATGATATATGATTTTGTAAAATAAAAGTTTAGTTTTAAACGTTTTATTTTATAATATAATATATATATTTACATGGATGAAGGATTAGAAAAGATTGTTAAAAAACTGAACAAGGTTTTAGAACAGAATAAGAATATTTTAGAAATCTTAAAAGAAATGGAAAAGAAGAAACCATTAACAAACAGTTATCAAAGTAAAGAAGTAGATAGAACCAATGGTGAATATAAAAATAAAAGAAATATTTATTTAAACAAACTTAATAACAAAGAAATTAAAGAACCGAAGGCTTCAACTATGACATTTTATCAAATTGACTATGATGAGGAAACGCAACTTTATTCATAAAGTTACATTTACTCATTGAAAACTAAACATAGTTTAGTTTTTAACGAGGAAACAGGGATTTTTATTCATAGATAATATTATCTAAATATCTTTAATAATGAACTTATTAGAGATGTTTAGTGGGACAGGCAGTGTTGCCGGTCGCATTCTGTGCTGATACCTTGCTGGGTTCAAAAGAAAACCCCTAATAATAGGTGGCAAGCCCCCTAATGATAGGTGGCAAGCCCCCTAATGATAGGTGGCAAGCCCCCTAATGATAGGTGGTAATTAGCAATCCCCCTAATATTAGGTGGCAAGCCCCCTAATGATAGGTGGCAATTAGCAATCCCCCTAATATTAGGTTGCAATCCCTAATTTTGATTGAATTTGGACAAAAAAAATAATAATACGGTGTATGTATATTATGTTGTTATAATATAAATTAACATTGTAAAATCTTATATGTTATAATTATATTAAACTTATGGTTTGTTTCTTAATTTTTATTAATGCCTTAAAAACGACTTAAAGAAATAGTGCCTTAATATAATAAGAGGAAAATGAACGGTGATAAAATCAATAATTATATCAATAAAAAATGCTATGATTGTTGTCACTTCAAAAAAGAAAATATGGAATTGTATAAATTGAATTTACCTAATGAAACAGTGAATAATATTATTAATTATTCAATGGATGAAAAAGACGAATGTGAAAATTGTCAGGAATGGAGAGATAATCAATTTTTAATCAAATGTTTGTTGAGAATAAAAGGAAGACATAATAGAAATGTAGAAGATGAGATTTTAATATTTCTAACTGTAAATAAAATACCACCTTACGATTATGTTAAACAGTTTCTTAAAATCAGTAAGAAAAATATGACATGATTTACGATATATTATGGATGTTGGGCTATAGTCAAGAGAAAGGGGAAGATGTTAAAGACAGTATCAAATTATTTATTGAAAGTAAAAAGTTTAATATTCAAAATACATTGAGAGATATTAATATTATTTTTAAAATGATGTATGAAAGAAGAAAGATTTGTCAATTAAATTATTATCCTGTACTGAAATTATAATCATACTATAATAATAACATGTAAAATTTTATATGTTATAATTATATTGAACTTATGGTTTGTAAAGATTGAAATATATTATGTTCTTAGTTTTCTTGTGTGCTTTGACTGTTTGGTTTTGAGTTGGTATTGGTAATTACGGGTTTTACTGGTAAAATGTATAAACACTTATTAGTATTATATATTATCATGGATTGGCGCGATTATCTTTGGAGAATAAATACTAGAATACCTGAAAAGGAATTGGAAGAATGTAAATATGATTATCAATGTACTAGGTGCTTGTCTTGGAAAAAGGTTAATGACTTTGGAGTTAGAAGCACTGGTCGCATATATAGATATTGTATTAGGTGTAGGGAAGTTGTGGATAAAGCGAGAATGAAAAGAATTGAGAAAAAGAACAACCAAAAACTAAGTAATGAAGAAGATGATAAACCAGTTGAAGAATAAGGTTGAAACAAATATTATTAAAGGTGGAAATGTGTTTTAGTCATATTTTTAAGTCTGAGTGAAAAATTCGTGAACAATGAATAAGGTAGAAAGGAAAAATGAAGAATAACTGGAGTTTCTGAGAATTGGAAAAAGACTTAAAACACAAAATGAATAAGGGTAAACAAATAGTAAAATGAAACAGGTTAAGTAGTGAAAAAATAATGAATAAGGTATGCATCTTTCTAGGAATTACTTAGAATGAATAAGGTTGTGATTTATTAACCTTATCTATTATTTGATACTTGGTTTTTCAATGTGTTTTTTCATTGCTTGTTAGAAAAAATACAGAAATGATTTTCAGTTCCTTCAAATCCCCTTTCTGTATTTTTTCCCCCTCCGCCCCGATCTTCTCCCCAGCTCCCCCCCTAAAATATTTGTTTCCTCCTTTTCCCCCGAAGATCTTCATTTCCCTTCACTTTCCTTCACTTCGGCTCATGTCCCTTTATGTCTGTTTTTGTTCCCTTTCTTTCATTTCACTTCATGTCATTCATTTCCGTGCATTTTCCTTAATTTTGAGATGTTCCTTCACCAGCAAGGGCAACATCCCCAGCATCACTTGCATCTTCCGCATCCTTGGCAGGCGCTGATGCGGATGATGCAGGTGATGCTGGCGATGTTGCCCAGGAGGTCTTCTCTATGTTTCTCCCTAAGATCTTTTCCACCCCTTTCCCTGTTGAGAGCATTTCTCCCCTTTCCCCGCCTAAGGCATTTTTTCCGAGATCTTCTCCATTTTTTTCCCAAGACCCCCCCCGATGAACACTCCCGAACGAAGAGAGGAGTGGGAATGGGAGATGGGATTCCTTCGTCATCTCCGTTCATATTATCCTTCCCATCACCAGCGAAGCAAAGAGAAGGCTGGCATGGGATCTACAATTGCAGGGAATGACTGTGAACGAAGAGATGGGAATGACCGGGAAATGAGGATGGGATCTCTTTCACCCATCCAATCCTTAGGATTCACTATCATATTATTTTCCTATCTTTTTATTTTTTATTTCCCCCCCCCCCGGATCTTCTCCCCAGCTCCCCCCCTAAAATATTTGTTTCCCCGCTTTTCCCCCGAAGATCTTCATTTCCCTTCACTTTCCTTCACTTCGGCTCATGTCCCTTTATGTCTGTTTTTGTTCCCTTTCTTTCATTTCACTTCATGTCATTCATTTCCGTGCATTTTCCTTAATTTTGAGATGTTCCTTCACCAGCAAGGGCAACATCCCCAGCATCACTTGCATCTTCCGCATCCTTGGCAGGCGCTGATGCGGATGATCCAAGTGATGCTGGCGATGTTGCCCAGGCAAAAACGGACCCGGTGGGAATCGGACACCCCAATGTTTTTGCGCAACTGTGTTCCGCACAGCACCCAGAAGAAAGGATTTAGTGGAACGTCTTGGAAGGGAGGGGTCAGGGGGTCACAGGCAAAGAGGTAAGGAGCATTTCCTTTGTCCAACACGCCACCTGTTGTTGGCGGATTCCAATGAAGACCCTGAGTTTGACTCAATGCTTTTGGGGTAGAGGAAACATCTAAGATTGGCAAGAGTGCTTTGCCTCTTCAGGGCCCCTTACTGTAGGATTGTTTCAAGACTACCCTTGCAACATCTGTACCCCCAGAACGTGTAATGGCCTGATTGTCACTAGCATCTGTTTTCCCATGGTCATTGTTTAATTTGTTTGTCAGTATCTTTGACTTTATGGCAATTTGGGAAGCAGAGGAAACTTCCATTGGACCCACCAAAATGCAGAGGGGTCAACGGCAAAATTAGGAAACGTAACTGGAAACATATTCCTGAACTCGTGTGATTTGTGTAACAGGAGCGCATGGGAGAGCCTGGAGGAACGACAGCGGCTGCAGGTCCGCGAGATCGGTGACGGCCGTGTCGTGTTCAAGGGAATATGGGACCTCCTACGGTGAGTTTCCTTCTTTTTCCCATTGAAAGCCCAACCTTATGCCAAAAGGCTTAGTTCGAAATTTGGTGGATGTTAGGTACCTCTTTTTTGCCAACAGTCATGGACGTGTACGCCTTGAGCCTTTTCAAGAGGACGGAAGTCTTTCAAAACCGTGCTGTCAACTTGAATAGTTGTTGGAGCAATTCTTTTTGGTTTGGGTTGATGGTTTGGATGCGGGGTACCCTCCCCCATTTCCCCGTGTTTCGCAGGAGCTGGGGTTCAAATCCCAAACCAACCCTATCCACCAATTGAGGGGTACTTGAACTTCCTTGCAAAACAACTGTCTCTTGAAAACAACTATCCCCGCTGTCTGTTGTGTCTCACGGTTTTAGAAATTCTTAAAGTGCCCTCAAACATCTGTTCAGCACCAACAATAAGCGACCAACATTGGCTTCCCTGCACAACCAACAACCAACAAGGGCGGTCCTTGTCCCCATGGCCTTGAGGAATGCCACTGAACGGGATTTCACACTGAGGTCTTACTGAGTCCATTCCAGTCAGGATATCTCGAAATATAGAAACTAGAGGATGCTGAGCACTGTTGCTTGTCTCAAGATGCCCGGAGTCGGGACGCCCTGGTCGATGGGGATGGTGAACAGCCCATGAAGCTATGCCATGACGCGTTTGGCTCTGTGTTTCAAAAGTTTCTGACCACTCTCCCACTTATTGAATTGAATGAGTTTTGTTGAGGCAAACGTAGAGACACGTGATCTTCCAGCTATTTCGAAGCCTTTTTTAGGCCACACAACTTTTGGCGGTGGATGTCGGTTTCAGTTGCAGGCAGAGCATGTCCTAGGGCTCTGATTACTGACGATGCGTCGCGTGCAAAGACCATAAAGTTTACTTGGATTGGTTTTCAGGCATCATACAGCCTTCACTAGAACCGCAAGTTCTAATCCAAGGCCTCCACTAAGTCACTACAGCCCCGGAGGTATCCCAATATATTCGAATGATATTGCCTATCATATTCGGACATACATCGGATCATGAGGGGGGAAGTACCGTGGAGTGTTTAAAGCTCTCCCGGTCGATGCCTCGCCAGTTCGGGTTGGATCCAACCCTTCCAAGCCCTACTCATCCCTACTCACTGTCGAGCCCCTCCAACATCTTCATCCATGGACTTCCCCTTCCACTGTCTCAGAGAACAATGCATTCCCCCCTACCCTCAACCTCCAAACAGAAGTGGGTGACCGTTGTTAAGAGCTACATTGGAATGTTCCAAACTGAACAAACATGCTATCATTTTGCAACTGTGCCCAGCAGAATCCAAACCAAAAAAAACAGAGTTTGCCTGTTGACCCCTCTAATTACACGGTTCCCAACCATCCGGCTTTTCTTCCGACCTGGTAAATCCAATGCTGACCTGTTCAATGTTCGGGTCTTCTTGTTTATTCATGTCTAGTCTCTCCCTCACTCACAGCTTGCACATGCGTCTCATGTTCGGAAGCAAGAGACCGCTTTCAGCGATCTCCCTTTCACTCTGCACCGCCCTGGCCATGTCTGGTCTGGTTATCTTGGTCCATTCATCAAGGTTCCAAGACAAGAGGTGAACCTTTTGAAGGTCCTGGCAAGTGGAAGACCTTAGGCTGCGCTGCTCAAAGTGGCACTGCGCGCAGGGGGGCCCAAGTGTCCACGCGCAGACCGCGCAGCAGGGGGGGTGCTCTCTTGTTGCTTTTTAAGGAGAGCAGAACTGACTGGGTTTCATGCAAGCCATCCAAGCGCAGCTTCTCTGCAAAAGGAGATTCCTCCAAAGGTTTGCTGGGGTTCCAGTAGAATTCGGAGCTGAGCTGTCTTCACCTACGAGGTGAGCGGACAGCGCAGCTGTTCTGGGAGTTCTTGCCATTTTTGCCAACATCGCGCCGAGTGCAAGCACACAGCCATTTTCGTTTGTGGGAACTGCGTCCCAGTCATTGAAATGTGCCTTGCAAGCTGGCCTAGAAGCGATGTTCCTTAAAAAGGCAGCTCGAGTCTCTGGAGAACAAGGCCAGCCCTTCAACAGGCGGGGATTTGTGTTGAGTTTTCAACTTTGAGCGTGGCTGGGACACATACAGCTTGTCTTGTTTTTCGGGGGCCTTCAATTGGTGACATACTTTGGGTTGGGGTGTCAATGGAAGTCCCATCATGGGAGGCACAATCACATCCTTGGTATGTGAAGATTAAGAGAGAGTGCCAGGTATAAATTACGTCCGGCTTTCCGCTTGCTTCTTTATCATTCGGGTAGACTCTATTTTAAGACTCTGAAAAAGGCAAACATCGTTGAGCACGCCAATTGCAAGGAAAGGGTCCCCCCCCTGGGGAAAAACAAAACAAAAAACAGATTACCCGTCTCAAACTGCGGCACTCCCAAACTCGGCTTCGTCTGCCCAGGTGCACCCGGAAGACATGGCCCGCGTGGAGTCGAGGCGTCGACTGGACTTGGGGGCAGGCCTCAAGGTCAAAATGCGTGGGTCGCTTCCTGTGTCCTTTTTGTGGGAAAGTGTTCCGATCCGTTTAAATTCAAGCAACAAGAGAGGGTGTCCCGATTTTTTTCCCATGGTCACTGGGCATCTAAGTCTAGGTCGGTCAATTCATTTGTCTTAGCTTTGAGGGAAAATGGCCGTGACTGTACACGAGGCGGGGTCAATGTATCGGGAAGCAGGCTTGATTGAAGGTTTCATGCGTGGAGTATCCCTGGCAAGTCGCGTGGAACGCGATAGGGGATTCACATGAAACGGACGCCATTGCAAGACACGGAGAGGCTGGACATCAACAGGGGCTTCACTGGGTTGGTTGTTTTCATTAACACATTCCATGTTGGCCGTGAGCGCCCTTGCATGACAGAGTTAGCATGGAAAGCCAGAGAGGACAATTGTTGCAGTTCCTTTCTCCGCGTCCTGTTGGGTGCCACTGCCGTCCTTCTCAATCATGACAGCTTTCTGACTCTTTACATGTGCCTCAGTGCAAGTCAACAAATACATATTCGAACAAAACGGAGGCAAGCCAAAGCAAAGCAACACAGACCAAAACAAAACAAAACAAGGACATAAGGCAATATACAACGGGTGTAAACTCAACAAGCACCTACTACAGAGGCCGAGTTCCACCCCGCCAGCGCGGCGCCGGGGCTCCTGGAGCATGTCAGTCGCAGTAGTTCAGTGGCCGATTTGTTCTTTGTGCTTGGTGGATCCGCAACAGTTGGTTAACCCCAAAAAGCCGTCCCCTTAAGCTTCTTTTTTATTGTTTGCTTGTGCGCAACATAGCATGGACCCCGGCAAGAGTCCAAAGTGGTTTTGGGTAGACCCTGCTGATGTCAGGATTTGATTGTGAGAGGTGGCGGTGCTTTTCGTGGAAATTTCATGTTCAACCGGTTTGGAACACGACAACCGTTTTTCGCGGATGAGGTGTTTTTTCTTGATGTTTCTCAGCGCTGGGTGCGAAAGGGGCTGGTGTTTGGAAATCCTGAGGCTGAGTTGCCCCAAATCGACCACCCGCTGCCCCCCTTCTCCCCGCGTGCCCAACACACCAACCAGCTTGAGGATTGGAAATACCCCGAAGTAAGGGTTCTGATGTCTCTCTGACCTGCCCCCAACAGGGCAACATCCCATCAATCATGGAAGATCATGGAAGTCGACGCTATTGAATGCTGTTCAAGAGGCCTTTTGTCAGTTTCCATTAAAAAAGAAAAACAACTTCACTTCCTAATGCTTTGAGCCATAAGCCTTGCCCGTACTGTGGTCGTTTCCAAAGATGGAGGACCCCATTTCCAATCTTTGATTCCCCCAAAGAAGACTTAAACCCAGAAAAGTCCCATTGGGAAAATCGACCATCCCTGGGTTTGAGACCTTGGAAAAGACCCCTTTGCTCCCGTCCACAAAGGGCTGAAAAAAGGGTGCCCATTGGGGCTTCAGGAAGCCAACCAGCTTCCCTCTCGCCAACGCTCTCTCTTTTTTTTCTTCTGTTTTTTTTTCGACTAAGCCACGTCTGCGTGCACCCCCCCGCGGCCTGAAAAGCCGAGGCTTCTTCGTGCCGCGCGAGGTGCGACCTGCCGAGGAGGCCGGCCGAAGGTGAAGGGGACGCCAAACCGCCGGCAAATGTCTTCTTCGACCCAGAAGCTTCTAGACGTACATACACGTTTGTTTTTCCTACTCGTAGCTCCTCGAATTCGAATTGGCGAGAACGTAATCATTTGTCATACACGGCTCGATTGCTTGTCGTGGCCGCAGTGGGGGTTTGCCGTAACCACTGACAAAGCCGAAGGAGCCTTTGAAATGTGTTTTGACTTGAGATGAAAGTCGCAAAATCTGTGCAAGCCAATGTGCCGTGCACTACGATACGCTTGACAAAAGGAAATTGCAGGCCGAAGAGCGAAAACAGCAAAAACAAGTAAACCTACGGCAAAAGCCATGACATGAGAAGGATACTGAGAAGTCCGTTTTGTATCATGACTGAGTACATTCCGAACTCATCCAGGTCGGAGTTTGACAACATATGCAGATGTCTTGGAATATCGCGTGCACCCGCGCTCGGATCGGAGTTTCCTCTTCAACGCTCTTGGAGCTCATGGCCAGCGCGTGCCATCCGAGTCTTTGGGAGCACTTCTTTTATACTGAGCTAGGGCTTGGAGGTCACCAAATCAGGAACCCGAAAGCCTGTCTCAGGTGTTTCTGCTTCTCTGGCCTAAGGAAACTTGGCATTTTGGCACGGACCGCAGTGATGGTTTGGCCCAACTGAATGCCACAGATTCGCCGAACCAGCCCTCCACTTTTCAGGCGAAAGCGGCGGCGCCCAGTCGGGGCGCCGAGCCGAGTCACCGGTCTGCAAGCTCTGGGTCGAGCAATGCTTGTTTCTGAAAGGCATAAGTCTTCTTCTGGGGTCTCCTCCAATCCGGTGTCGTACTTCAGGGCAAATATCATGTTTTGTTTGTGCGCACCCGCCATGCGCTTCAGACAAGGGCGCCGTTGTCATTTTTCTGGAATGAAGGAAGCCGAAGAAAGTGAGGAAGCACTCTCCGACACATCTGGCCTTACTTCCTTTCGCTCTTTGGCTAGTCCGCCCCAGGGTCCACGTAGACGGCTACATGTCGTGACATCGTGACACTGCCCAAGTTTCTGCAGGCTTTAGCGCTTTGACAGGACCCGGAGTCAAGATCCACGCATCTGGGGTGGTAAAAAAAAGTCTTATCTATCAGGACGTCATAAGGAGATTGAACAAATGTCACCCTCGCGCCGAAAAGCGTACAAGGAGCCTGCAGATTTGACCGGTTCACGATGTTCGCTGAGGCATCAGGCCTGTGCCTGCGCCGATGCCTGTGTGGGCCCCAGAAAAGTCAAATATGGGTTTGTCGGTTCTGGAGATGGGTGTTTGTAGTGCACGTTAAAAAGGGGCTCAAAATGAGATTCACCCATGTCTGGGGTGTCCCTGTCCCTAAATATCGTGAAACGCATCCAAGGATCTTCATAGAGATTGTGTGCTTCGGAACCTCCAGTCAGGTTCTATGTTAGTTGGAGCTTCGTAGGGTTGAAATCCCAACAAGTTGGTTTTGCCTCCGCTCTTTGGATCCTTTACTTTTTTTTTGGCAGGGCCCTTTTGTGACCCAACAATTGCCCAAAGCCGTAAACCGTTTGTTCATTGAGGTGTTTCATGCGGCCAGGGGCATACCCTCGGCAACGTGCTATTTTGTACGTGCGTGCTGAAGTTGATATCGATGTTGACACAAAGTAGCGACTCGGTGATACTGGAGCTATCTACGTAGTATGTTGACATGTCGGTTTATCATTCCAGATAGCTGCATTAAGAGTTGAGCATGAGAGTGGAGTTCTTTGAAAGGACCCTTCATAAAGGAGGTTCCTTTTCTTTGACGCGTGGTTTCGAGGTTCCTTCTGAAGGAATACAGGCCACAGCATGTGGCCCTTTAGCAGCAACCCCCAAGGGAGTTGATTTTCGTACGGAAGGGTTGTTAATTACTAGCCCGGCTATATCGGCAGCACTCTGATCATCTACACATTGTTTTCTTTTTGTTGTGGAGGGTCCCTTTATATTCCCAAAAGGCTTGAACGGCAAAGCTATCGCAAGGCTATCGGAGCCCATTTGCCAGGCTTAGTAGCTTCGGGATTCCCCAGAAGACCCGTCAAGTTGATGACTTCAAGGCTGCCGTTGTCAAAGCCTCCTTTCACTCTCCCAAGCAGAAGTCCATAAGACACGTTTTCAGAAGGAAGTTCCTATGAGAATGCAATAGCACGAATGGGGTGTTCATGATATGGCAGCCGTGCAGGAATGCTGGGGCCAACCATTCAACAGGTACCCTGTTTGGTTTCCATGTCGCGATCCTCATCTAGCCAAATGATCCCAAAAAGCGGTCAGCAAAACACCCATGGTGGGAACATTTGCATTTCTTGGTGGCTCCCAGCCATCCCCTTGGCTTTTTAGCCTATTAGTGTTTAGTGGTAGTTTCCATTTGACTCACTACAAGTTAAACTTTTAGCGGGGGATCTGAGGGCAGCCTAGATTTGGCTAAGTGTTTTACATGGGTTTCCCAAGGAGCCAGGGGAATCCGGGAGCTCTCAGACGGCTATCGTCGGCCCCCCCATAGCGAGGCGCCGCTGAGCTGCCAGTTTCTGGCCGCCTTGGCCGCGCGAGGCCATGGGGGGCTCGAAATGCCGCCGGTTTTTCACAGACGGCGACCCGGTTGGCCACAATCACAACCCCATGTACGACGTCCTAACCGCAAATGGCCATGGGTCAACATCCCGTACCCCCAGTGAACAGCCAAATTGGTGCGGATAGCCGCCCAATTATATTTCTTCACTTGGGGTAGACCATTTCAAAGCCAGGGTTTGATTATGACTCAAGTTTTGATCTCCTGGCGCGCCTTTTCTGGTTTGAGGTCACCATATTTCGGGTACAAACCCAGGTGGGGAATACCAGGGGCTTAACGATTACTATTTGTTTACTCGTATTATGATGACTGAGTATGGTTTGAAACAGCCCCATTCCCGTTCTTGGCGGGTTGGTTGGAAGAATACAGGAAACACATCATATTTTTGGCTTGTTGAGTTTGGTCCTTTGTCTTTGTCAGCTTTGAGTGCCCCTTTTTGGGGAGCAGAACTCCAGATCCCAAACCCTTTCTTGGGTTTTGTAGTGCTTTGTTGGAGGCTCGGTCTTCGGGCTAGGATTATGCGGGCCGGATGGCCCTTGAAGGGGTAGCCTTCGTGACCTCGACAGCCTTGTTTGAGACAAGGATATGCAAAGAAATCGGAGGTCCGGAGGGCTGTTGTTTTTGGAACCCTGCCTTATTTGGAGAGCCAGTTTTGTAGGGGCAAAGCAAAGGGTGGCCGTTTTAGTTTGTCAGGCTTGCAAAGAGAAAAGTAGTATTGCTGTCTGCTTTTTTAGGGTGGGAGGTGGCAGGGGGCACCATGAATCAGGGGTTTTTGGGGAGGCCCCCACAAATAATTGGGTAGGGTCTTTTGTGCAAACCTTGTGCCCTTTACTTTAGTATTGGTGGAGGCCAAATGGGGAAACCATGAATCGGGGCCGGGGGGGGTTTTTACTAATCCTACATGAGGGGCTTGTTGGTTGCCTGGTTCGTGTCCTTTCGGGTATGAAAGAGGGAGAACCCTCAGGTGCATCCTCAATCCTTGCCACTGCAAGTTTCATCGACCTGAACCGGCCGTTGTGTGTTTTCTTTTGCGGTTTTGGTCTAAAACAGTTTTGTTGAGTCTTTTGCAGCCCTTTCCATGTGTGGTTTTCGACTGGCTTCCTTCCATTTTGGAGTCGGTCTAAAAGAGGTCCCACAAATCAATGTTTCCAGTATTGGCAAGTAACTTCCACTCGTCCCGTACGAAAGGACGTGCTTTTTCCAACGGGTATCCAGTTGGCCTGGATTCACATTGGCCCAGCATTTATTTTGCACAGCCCGCGATGTTGATCCAAGCTGACAAGCATTTGCACCAACCGTTTCCGCCTTTGAAGATGCGTTGTCAGTATCGACTTGAGTGTGTAAATCCCAGTGGATACCGTCCGGAATTGGTTTTGACATAACACCAAACCTGGTGGTTTCCATTTTAAACTCCCTTTGAATCAGCCCCAAAATCCAGTACCCCCAAAAAATGGGAAAAGTGTCAAACATATCGTGTTTTTGTTCCTAAAAACCATACAAACGCGCGCGCTCGGGGTGTCCTGTTCTGACAAAAAACACGCCCCCGGCGGCTTTCCTTTGTGGAATCGGCTGGAAAGAGCGCAGGCCAGAGGCCTGAGGCGGAGGCTGGGTCATTGGGACGCTCAGATCCTGACCCCCTCAACTGAACATGGCTGTGGTTGTCAAAACCAATGGGATCCCATTTTGGGATAGGTTCACCACCCATTTTAGAACCTATTTGAGTGGGGATTGGGATGTTCAGTGGGGGTATGGACACATGGAAGTGCACAGACCCCTGCAGAAAGACGACTTTCCTCTTGAAAGGGCGGTTTGTGCACTTCCATGTTAGTTGGTGGGAGGGTAAAAAACAGCTTTTTGTTTGGTGGGTTTGGCTCAAAAAAGGGGTCAACCCAGAAAGGCCAACTTTTTTCTCATTGGGGTCAGCGGGGAACTAAGTTGCCAACTAAAAACGCACCTGCGCCACAACTCCCAATAGGGGCGAATAGCAGCGCCTGGGCCAATTGCTCTATATTTGTCAAAGCCCGCTGGTCGAGATCGACCGGAAGGGTACTACAGACCGTACCAGGCAAAGATTGCGTCGCGCACAGTCCTGCAGCTTTGATACATGGGCCGTCGATGTTCTGGGGAATCATATGGAATCATGAAGCAAACTCACTTGATTTGTATGTTTTTAATGGCAAATTACTCCTGCAATTTGACATGGAGCCCAAAACGCGATTCCCGAAACGAGCTTTCTCTAAGAAGCATGTCGTGTTTGGTTCATATGGTCCATATCAACGTTTTTTTGTTGCGTTAAATCGCAGGATTGTATCACTTGGCCGCAGACGCATGCTTTCGCCATAGGTGGAACACTTGCATGGGTCACACATTATTTGCTGACAGCTGCTTGATGTTGCATATTGCCCTGTTGCTTGAGCCAGGGTTGGCCCGGTTGCCTTTAAAGGAAAACCAACAAATTGCCGTTTTTAACCAACAGAAAAGAGGAGGAAATATACTTATTCTACCACAGCTACATGGGAGTATATCATTGATTTTCCCTTCGGGGTCGTGCAACAAGCCACTCGTCGTGGGGTTCCTGTTTTGGAGACAAACGCACACCAGATGCACACACATGCAACAAAACACATTGCTGATCAGTGGTTTAGGGATAGCTGAAATCATTTAATCCCTCTGTGAGAACACCTTCTTACGCAGAGGCTATCCAGCGAGCGGTTGTCCACCCTTTGTCCCCTTGAAACCCAGGTGGTTTGGGGGTTAGTGGAAGCCATAGCACACTCAGCGGATCACATCTCCCGAGAGTGTTGATATATACCAGTGGTTTGCTGGAAGGGTCTCAGCCATCCGCAGGTCGAGGTTCCGGGAAGGCTCGCTGGAACCGGTTGAAGGGTTTTGGGTTTTGGAAGGTCTGACAGAGACTTGGAATTGAAATCAGCGATCATGCAAGAAGCATGGTGATTCAATGGTGATTCACTGATTCATTCAAGCAGAACCCTGGGATGTAACTGTCTGCAAGTGTGGTTGATGCTCGGAGAGAAAGTAGCACGGATCCAACCGGGTCACTGGGCAACTAGGCAACCCTGAAAAGGGGGGCCTGTTGCGCAAGAGTTATTCGGAGGATCCGTATCTAGGAATTTCCAAGATGTCTGAGGTTTGGGCTGTGTAGCTCAAAGTCTGACAAATACCCTTAAAGCCATTTGAGCCTTCCCCCTCAGACCAGACCATGCTCTTATCCCACCTTTTGAGTGTATGTGCGTTGTTCAAGCGGGTACCTACCTTCCTTTCCCTCAAGAAGACATTGAGTGCATCGGTGGTGTCGCAGGCATTCTGGTGGTGCGGGGCTTCGCATGTTTTTTTTTGGAACAGGGACTTGTGCCGATCCGCGGAGCAAGATGGGGATTTGATCCCTGAAGGCCCTCCTTGAGGAAGGAAGCCTTTGGAAAGTCTGAAAGTGAAGATCCCGGAAGAATCACGAAGAAACTTGAGGTCACCGGGTAAGATGTTCGACAATCCGCGCAGGCACCAGTTGGAGGCGCATCCCATTGTCCAACTGGTTCGAAGTGGATTTTGCCCATCCACAGTATGTCAATGGAAGCATGTTACTTGTCACTGTGTTTTTCAGTGGCTGCCCTGGATATCCGACTAGAACAGTTGCGCACTATTGTAGTATTGTTGTCACCATACTACCACAATAGGCAGCATTCAGGGGGTGAGCAAGCGAATGGCGGATTGGCCACTTCACCACAAGCTAAAACGCAAATTGATGCAAATGGGAGGGTTACATACCACTGCCGTATTATTGACGGTTGCGTTTCCACTCCCCCAAAGCGCTACCCCCGCCCCTTTTGTTGGGGGGATATAGAACCACTGTGTAGGCACTATATCAAAGGTTCCAGTTTTCCCTTGACAGTGGTGAGGTGGAAACCCTCGTATGTCTGAAGCATTTCCTGGAAGGTCATGCCACGCTTGTCGCCCCCTGTCCAGGCGAAAGGTGCGCTGGGCAAGGGCTCAGCCCTCAGAGAAGTGGGGGGCTGGGGGTTCCGTGCCATGGTCAAAATTTGCCCGCCCGCCGCGTGAGCTCAGAGGCCATTGGCGTGGCTGACTTTCCCTTAGATGTGTAATGGGGCAGGGACTTTTTTGGGGTTTGGAAGGGATGGTGAATTATCAACCTGCTGGTTTCAGACACATCCGATCAAAGGGGGCCGTGACCACGATCAACACGCCAAGTGTCGGATTGGGATTGTGTCTCAGAGAGGTAAATGGACTCTCACATTGCTTCTTGTCGAGTATTTTTCACAAGTTGCTTGCATCTAGCAAAAGAAATGAGACAAGCGCCGTGAGATTTGCACGCATACTCCGTGATGCGGTATTTCGATGGCTTCGGACTCTTCTTTTCACCTCGACGGCACCAAAGTGCGGACGGGCGCTCGTGAGAGACCCAAGACCATGACCTTGAGGACTTTTGACCATGGTACAGTTTGGTTTTCACATCGACTTGAAGCTATTCTCCGCTCGGAAAATCAGCAGGGTATCAACTGACACCCTAGCTTTTGTGCTCCAAGTGAGGGTTTCCCAAACTTGGGGAGTCTAGGTGTTGGGTTTGGGTCCATCCGAAACGGGGTTTCCTTTTGCAAGACCAGCTTGGCTCGCAAATCATGAGCAAGCAGAAAAGACGCCTTGTGTTTTCGGGCTTGATTTCGGAGGTTTCTACACTTCTGGATCCCTCTGTTTCCAAACAAGGCTTCAAAAGACAAACCCTGGTTTTTCCATGCAGCACACACAGAGCATCTGAGTTGATCGGCGGTACTGCTAGTCCCCGTGATGCAACTAGGAAGTGATGACGATATGTGCCTTTCTTCGTCGATGTTGACAAGTTTTGATTGAAATCCCTGTCACGAGAACCAGTGCTTGACAGATTTGTATTCCAATACAGCAACAAGAGTTCCTCTTTCAAACACCGAGCAACTGGCTGGCATTCGTGACAAGAAAGTGCGGACATGGATGTTGCATGTGGTCCACAAACCATCGGATCGCACATGAGTACATGTCAAACAGGGGGACCGCTAAAAAGATGGGGCTTCATGCTAAAGAGAGCATCACCATGTTGATTTGTGTGGGATATTGTTGTTGGGGGGGTCCATCTATGTTGAAAATGGTCGCTGTCCTTCTGGTTTTGCTTTCAATACCAACTTAAAAACGGGGGTCCCCTTGTGACACCCAATCTGTTGACCCCGGATTCATAAACCCCTGTTAATTAAATATGGGTGTGGGTCAAAATTCAACCCCGAGGGGACCGCAGCATTTAGTCCATGTTTCCATTTGCCATAATTCCCATTTGGGGTACCAATTTTTGACCCACAGCCATATGGGGGTACTGCCCTCCAGTGCTAAATCCCCCACGAAAACCCTGCCCCAAGGCGCAGAGCTATGGGCTTGCAGACATCATGCTGAGGGAACGTGCGGCGCCTGGGGGCGTTCTATGGGTTTGACTGAGGGAGTGCCCAAAAATCGAGTGGGAATGTTTAGGTGGCTCTACTGCCTGGTTTCACGTGGGTCAGGTTACCTTAGCTCAAACAGCTCTATACCTCTATGTCTAGCGCTAAGCTCAAACAGCTCCAACCTTTATGTCTGTTTCTAAGGTCTAGTAGGGATCAGGGATCGGCCTTGGAAAAGGGCCCGAGGCACAATTAAAGCACTGGAGAGTGAAGCCCCAACCTTAAAGGGACTTCTAATTTGATGATTTCCTAACCTTTACGACTCGCCTCTTGCGTTTCACTGCTACGAGTTTCCGAGTCTGCCATTGCCAGACTTACGATGGATCTAATATTTTACAGTTTGACCGTATTGGGCGTCCTTCATTCTTTGCCAGAAGCAAGTTAGCTTGTTGCTAGGGGTTTAAGTCTTGCCAAGTTGCCTGGCCTCTCGATGACCCCTACAAAAGTGGGGTCATATACCAAAAAGCATCGAGAACAAAGCGCATTTTGCGGGTGTGTTGATTTGAAACTCGGAGAGAAAAAGGAGCCCCGTTTCCAAATTTGACCCCATTTTGTGCGGGCTTCGGAGGCTGCCCATGGTAGGTGTCCGGTCCAACGGTCTGTGGGACGCCTTTTGGGGAGGAGGGGCCGTGAATTGGGCAGCACGCATTCCAGCTTGCAGCCACATTCGTGGGGGCAGGCCCCCCATTTATGCATATCTGAAGGAAAATATGTGTTGGTTTGTTGTATTTGTCATGTGTTCTTTCATTTCATCGGATGTTGTGGAACGCTCCAAATTTAGTATTGCGCTTGTTTTTATGAAACGAGATACCCTCCCTCCAACTAACATGGCAACTGACAGGGGCTCCCTTCAAAAGGAAATGAGCCTTCCAGGTACCTCCTCACAGGTGCCATGTTGGTTGGAGGAAGGGTAGAGAACCCGCAAAATGGGCTGCGAAAGTGCCCTGAACCCCGGAGTTTGCTCCAAACAGTTTTAACCTCTCGTTGGTTTTGGTCCGGCGCTTTTGCCAGTCTGTCCAGGGATCATTGCTAGTTCTGACCGGGAGACACCCATGTTTTTGTTTTTTTTTGAGAAGGACTGTTGCAAATAAGGGCCTGCTAGTTGTTTGTTGATGGCGGCGAGGTGATTGTTTTGCAAGAGCCATCCTTGAGCATATCGGAAGACTTGCTTCTGTGGCAACACCACCCTTGTTTTTTTTGGAGGGGAGAACTTCCAATGTCTTTTGATATTATTGGAACTCCTTCCCGATGACTTTCTTGAGGGGGACGTTTCCAGATATCCAGCAGTGGACGAACTTGCTTTGTTCCCACACTAGGGTCATTATATAGTCTGTTGCTGGGATGGCCTTGACGGTAAAACAAAAAACGAGGCCGAGTTTTTTCCTTGGTATGTGAAGGCTCACAAAATGAGCATGGATCAGACTCAAAGCTCTGATTTCGGCCGGCAGAAGCTGATGAGAAATCTCTGAGGCACCGAGGTGATGCCGGCGGCTTGAGGACCGGATTTTTTGTTTTTTTTTTAATTGGGTGGTTTCCCTTGGGTGGTTTCCCTTGGGTGGTTTCCCTTGGGTGGTTTCCCTTGGGTGGTTGTTGCCACCCCCACCGCCAGCCCCGCGCGGAGTTGGTGGCTCTTGCAGCGGAGTTGGTTGGATTTCTTGGGTTCTGCCCTGTGCTGTCGTTGCCGGGTTTTGAGCTTTTGTTCTCTCACTTTGTCTTGTTGTGGGCTTGAATTAGAGCGATGGACCAAAGTTTTCTAAAACATGGGGTGATGAAGTTAGTAGCAAACAACACCTTCAGCACATGAGCGATGTTTGTGAAGTCCGATGCCGAACCTCTGAACAACTCCCTCCGCGGATTGGCATACTGGAGACACACCTCTGAGAGCCCAAGCCCTTGGGCCGGGGATTGAACTGGCACTGTTGGCTACTGATTTCGAAGGGGATCGGGCGAGTTGTTCAGAGGGAGTTCACAAGCACTGAGACCATGTCCGCGTGGCATACAGAAGTAGCTGACCCGCATTTTAGGCTCTCAACATACAGTGTTCCTGGTGAAGTGACGCCGGTCATGGTTCGTCCAAGGGCCTGTTGAGCACGAGCACTCGAAGTCTGAGTCTTTTAAGCCGGCAAGGCCGGAGATTAAGTGAACCAGACATGGCCCGCAATGCAACGGATGATTGATATGTTGTACATAAATATGTGTACTGTATACATATATATATATATACACCTATACAGATGACATATGTATATAAGAAGCTAGGCGATGGAGTAAGGCGATGTTACTCAGTAGACCTGGCCAGGCCCTCAATTTTTTGCGGCGATTCAGCTCCCAGGTACCACCGGAACCGGAACTGCTCTTACTGGTCCCGAGACCAGTAACTGACATGTAGATCACGCTGATCGAAATGTTATCGATGGGGGGGCGAGTCGGCGAGCATTTTTTTTATACAAAGAAGGGTACTGCCCATGTCTGCATGCAACTCATCAAAGAATAGGCCATTGCGACCAGCGATCGAGGTCGACATGCTTGTTCCCAGATTTATGGTGCGTTTCTGTTTCATGCGTGGAGACAGACGGGGCATGAAACTATTGTGTATTGTGTGATGGTAACAGGAGTGTGCTTATTTCATGACTAGCGCAAGTAGCCCGGACGTGTGCCATGTGTGGGGGGGGACCCTAAGTCACGTGCTTGCCAAGCTCTTGCCGGCAGGTCTGCAGAAGGGGAATTTCTGAGACAGATCTGGGGTGAAGTCACTTGCTGAGTGGATGACCTAGCCGTGTCATTGCACAATCCCATGTGGGGCTTGATCCAAAGGTCCTTTGCCTTGGACGACCATGAGGGAATCCACAAAAGAGGCTTTCCTAAACGGGAGAATGTCACCCATTGGGGGGCCAGGAATATTGATGAACCCCCATGCATTCCGGGTTGCAAGCAATCCAGAAGAGTTCCCTGACAAACAGAACATGCTTCCAAGCTTCACATTTTGTGACCCCCACCAAGAGGTTGGCTCGGCACAATGTTGAAAGTATGCTGCAATTTTTTATGCCGTCCAATTGGAGGGAAGCAAGATGAAACCGAAGAGAGCTGCATTTCTCCAACTTGTGACACAAATGGGCGGGTCTCGAATTGGGAAGGTCCTTGGGCAGGTCTTTTCAGGAGTTAAAGTTCGGATGCATTCCACTCAGCCATCGGTAGGTGCGCTCTGCCTCCGGAAGTCCCTTCGGTGTCAGTCACGTCCAGCCTCATGGCCCTTGGGGGTTTCCCCCAGTGCCCTTTGACCGTTTCTTTTTTGGGGAAGGGTTCCCCTGCTAAAATAGACTGCAGAAAAACATCGGGTTCTCTTATTCTAACCTCTTTACTGCAGGACCTAGTTGCAATGAGATCCACAAAGGATGGCTTGGCCCCCAAAACCCTCATGGAGTCAACCGCCGCACAGGGCCCCAATCCTTTTTCTGCCTTTCGGCTCACTGGTTACAAGTGGGGCGTGAAGAGTGCAGAGCAATGTTACGAGGCCACAACGGGAATTGTGTTGTTGTTTTTTATTTTTCCCAGAGCGCTCTCTGTCTAGGGAGCAAACATCAAAGCTGAGTTGCGGGGATTTGAAAGCCCTTCAGCAAGACCTTCCACGAGGAGCCATGACTGTACGCGGTTTCGGTCTATGATGTTCCTACGGGCAAAGGGCGGCAATATTACCCTCCCACCAGTAAACATGGAACCTGACAGGGGGTTCCTTTAAAAGGAAAATGGTCTTCCAGGACCCCCCTGTCAGGCTCTATGTTAATTGGTGGGAGGCTATATTTTGCCAAGAGGAGATCTAGGAGCTGCTGGGGTTCGAGAAGCCTAGGTAGCTCAGGTGCTAGGGGCACCAGGGTCGCGCCCGGGAACGCCATTTCGTCGCGACGTCTACAAGGAGTTCCACCTGAACTTTCCCCTGGTCCGCTTGTGCTTTGCTCTTCGGAGCTTGTCCACCTCGTGGTGACCTTTGGAATCCGTGTTGACTGTAGGCCTTTCCACTCGTTGGCCTTCCCCTTTTAGTTCTTGTGGTGCCCTGTGTGACTGCACTTGCGGCGGCCCTTTTTCGGGAACTCGCCTGTGTTTTCGCCTTTCGCCCCATGGTGCATCAAACTGCCAGGGATGTGCTGAAGGGCTTGACCCAATCCGCTTCCGTGCATGTGGCCCTCCCGTCCCAACCGACACGCATCTGTTGTTTTGTCCAGCCCGTGAGCCCGCCTGATGTGCCTGTCGTTGGATCCACTTGCCGTGCACATTTGTTGAACCTAGGGTTATCTAATGAATTGGGATCCCCCCCTCTTCCTAGTGTAGGCCCGGCCGAGATTGTGATTGCCATCAGACGCAGTTTCCCGTTTGCCTGGCACCCCGGCATCGTGATCGCCTGTCAGAACGCCAAGAGTGAATGCAATCCAACTGGAGAGGGGGCTTTTCTCTTGCTGGACGATTCATCCGTGTGCACCAAAGTGCCTATGCTGTACGATGCCCAACCTTTGAAAATAGCGCACCTCTTCTCAGGTAGCTTCCGCGGTTGGAATCAAGCTGCAGTGTGGGCAGCATCGCAGGGATTACCTATCCAGTCCTTGCCTTTCTCCCTGGATATCTCCGAGGAAGTGTGCCAGATGGTCAGGAAGCAGACAGCAGGTAGCCTCATTACCAAGCCAGCCCAGATTCACCAGGATGATCGCCATCGGATAGTCCAAGCCAGTATTGCTGATGTTTGGTGGCCTGAAGCGCTCCCGCAATGTGACAACCTCACCTTTTCCATCAGCCCACCGTGTCAGCCTTGGTCCTCCGGCGGTACCACTTCCGGACTGTGTTCGGTCAATGGTATTGCATTTGCTGAGGCCGCCATGAGTGCACGAAGGTGCCGTCCTGTGGCCATTTTTGCAGAGAACGTGTCAGGTTTTTCCCAGCACAAGCACTTTGACCTAGTGTGCCAGGCCTTCACCTTTGCGGGTTACAAGCTAGCCTGGCATGATGTGATCGATGTGAACCAGATTTTGCCCTGCAAGCGCAACAGATGGTTGGGGGTGTGGATTCGGGAGGACATCGCCCTCGCTCCTGCCATCCCATTGTGGACCACACCGCCTTGCATGAGAGACCACTTGGATCACCCTGAGTTTTCTTTCAATCTGCCGGAGGAGCTCGCCCAACAGTGCTATCTCAACCCTAGGACACTTGAGATTTATAATAATCCCAAGCTCCTGACCCCAGCGTACAGTTCCAAGCTAGGCCCCGCTTTCGACAAATGGGATCCCATCAAGACCCGCATTCCCCGTGTCAGCGAACCCCTCGCCACCCTGTGCGCCAGCTATGGGAATCAGCATGCCATCGATGTTAAGCATTTGGCCACGACAGGAGGGATCTACGCGCAACTTCGATGGTTGGGAGACCAGATTGCCTTCTTCAGCCCGCAGGAATGGGCGTGCTTCCTCGGGTGTGTTGACGAGCTGCTCTTGCCGTTTGATCTGTGTGAAGCTTTCAGAGGAGTTGGTAACTCTATCGCACCAGCACATGCCATCATTGCCTTCCAAGCCGGATTGGTCAGACTTGGCAGAGCCGAAGACACCCGCCTTGCGCCTATTGCCATCAGCATCGCCAAAGCCAAGCTTCATGCCGAGAACTCGGCCATTGTGCTTGTCCCTGGAGGGTGGAAGATCACCCGAGTTGCGAATCCCATCGGTGCACTCACCCCACGCCTCAGCGTCACGGTCAGGCATGGTGACCAGTCCCGCCAGCTTGTTGTGCCTGAAACCGTCAATGTTGCTGCGGTAGCTTTTGAGCTCTTTCCCGAGATTGCAGCTGTGCCCAGCCAACAGTTCACTTGCGAAGGAAGGCATATCAGTAGGTCTGCGCCGGTCCAGCACCTCCTTGATAAGCCATTGCTTTGTGTGCCACAGCTGCCCCAACGTGATGTTGTCCCCATCTCCCCCACAATCCCGTGGAGCGTGCCAGTTGCCCACCAGATGCCTTCGGATTTGCCTACTGTTCCCTTCGTGCCTGACCAGCCCAGACCCGCAAAGAGACCCAAGATTTGCCTCGAACCCCCACGCAACAATCCGATCATCAATATCATTTTTGTTGACCATGTTGGCAGATGTGAGCAGAGCCAGGTTCCAGTCGGCACCACTGTGAGTGCAGCTGTGCGAAGCTTTGGGGTTCTTCCTGCCATCCTGGAGGTTGCCCGGATTTTCCATCTCAATAAGCCCCTTGACTCCACTCAGCATGTGCCTGACGCCGACCCTTGTGTGCTTGTGTTGCGCCTCTTTCCTTTGAAAGGAGGTGTTGCCGATCAATCCAGCGCATTGCCCAAGACAACCCCGCCACCGGGGCTCCACCCGCCAACATCGGCTTGTGGTTCCACTGACCCGTGGCTTGTGCATGACCCGTGGCAGAGCGGCACCATCCAGAGAAAGTCAAAGTGGGAGGACCTCTCCCTCCCAAGTGATCATTGCATTCACAACCCAACTGATTCCACCCCACTTGCTTGTGTCAAGAGGTTGCAGCTCGGAGCTGCTGTTCCTGGAGTTGCATTCTGTACCAAGGGTTTCCTCAAAGACCACCTAAAGGCCCAAGTCCCAGGACCCAGCGCCCTGCCAGGCAATGATCCCAGCACCCAGAGCCTCCCGGAGCTCCGCAATCGCACAATTGGTCCCGTTGAAATTCTAGTGCAGGATGAAGCCGCAGCAATTGCATACAAGCGCCTGGTGCTTGTCGTGATACTGAGGAATCCGGTTGAGGTCGCAAAGCCAAAGCCGCAATCCCCCATCGCCCTCACTCTCCTCCCTCACTCTGAACTCGTCCTTGAGGTTGATGAGAGGCTTGCCCACAAGAACACATGTGAGCTTTTTCGTGGACAGCGACCCGGCCCACTCGCCCAATTCCGTGACATGATTGAGCAATACTCCCAGGTTGGTCAGGGAATCCCGTTGTATGCTTTCCGAAAGTTGCACGGCCAAGACAATGCCAGCGTCTACCAGGCGCTTGTCAGGATTAAGACCGACGACCGATCCAAGTTGCTCATGCTGTCCGGTTCCGGCGAATTGTTCATCAGAGACTACCAGCACCAAGGTGAACAGCTTAAGGATGTGTCCATCATACCGAGGTATTGGCCCATCTCCCCAGCCGGCAAAGCCGAGGCCCGAACCCTTGGCCTCACAGTGAAAGGATTCCTCGGTCTCCAGGTCACAAAGCGAGGGATTTGCATCCGAGCAACCAATTCCACCATCAGCGAAGCTCGAACCACGATCCTGCAGGGTGATTCGAGATACACCAGTGAGAACATCTCTGTGATTCCCAGGGCGTTTGTGCTTGCCCAAGGGTTTCCCTTTGGCATTGATCACGCTGAGCTTATCCGTGCCACTGCGCTTGCCACAAAGTCCCCGCCCATCCCCATCAGGTCTTTTCGCAGAGCCGGAGTTCTCACATGGCAGCTTGGGTTCAGCGATGTCCCCAAGATCACACAGTTCCAAGTCAGTGTCAGTGGCGTCCCTCACTCCATTATCCTGTTTCCCGATGAGCCCAATCCCCCACCAAAGCCATCCCGAGGCCCGAAAAATCGTGCCGCTGAGCCTGAAAAGGCCACCAACAACAAGCGAATTCCGGTCAGCGAGGTCAGCGTTGCCTCCAAAACCAACGTTGAGGCTGCGCCCAACGCAGGAAGGCTCGACATCCTCGAAGCCAAAATGTGCAGCCTTGAGAACAGACATGAGGGCCTTTCCCAGAAGGTTGACAACCGTTTTGATCAGCTTGGCGACCAGCTCAGACAGATCCTCGCAGCCGTTGCCCCCCGTGAGCGCCAGCCCTCGGGTGACACGCCGCCCCCGAAGCACATTAAAGCCGATCAGTGACGGAGCCCAATCTCCGCCCTGCACCGAGACCCGGATGTCCCAGCGGTCTCGCACTTCCAATCCTTGCATTTGCACCAGTAAAGCCCGCCAGTGGCCTTGTATCTACTGGAGAGCGCCTTTCCTCGTGTGTTTGTGGTTTACCCTATGCGGGGATAGGTTTTACCCTCTGAACACTCGTGGTTGTGGTCACCCCTCCGGTGGAGCGCATTGCCGGCCTTCTTTCCCACTTGGCTGCCATAGCGACCAACGCTTTGCCAATCGCTTTCGTGTGGGTACTTCCCATTCTGAGAGCTACAATCCTGGGCGTGTTCACCAACACGTCGTGCAACTTAATGCAGGGACTTGGCGGCAAAGCCCTCCTGCGCTTTCCTGCTTCGCATCCCTCGCTTTTCGTGTAATTCAGCGCCACGCTCTTGCCATCTCGGACCTTGAGGGCTTCCAGCTTAGCTTGCTTTTGACCGTATCTAGGAACCGCTTTGTCACTTATCCCAATTGCTTCCGTGTGGGCTCTTCCCATTCTGTGAGCTGCAATCCTTGTTGTGTTCATCAGTACGTTGTGCAATCTAACGCCGAGGCTTGGTGGCAAAGCCCACCTACGCCTTTCCACTGCATGCCTTGCACCTTTTGTGCCATTGCGCATCACGCTCCCAGTACGATGCGATTGGCTTGTTTTTCAATGCCATGTCTTGATGGCCAACTTCATCGGTGCATGACTGTGTGTGTCCACATTGTTTTTTCGCCGAGCACGCGCCATGGTGATTGCGTGTCTTCAAGCTCCCCCAACAGCTTGCTGCTACATACCACTTTGTGCAAAGGAAGTAATTCGAATCTGTGTAACCTGTGCTTCTTTGCAGTGTTGAAATACACTCAAGCTTTATTACCACCCCTACAGGACGCCTTGCATCGTGTCAGATGCACCGTTGCATCGCCCCACCACTGCACCTCACAAAACCATACCATCCCGGACCTTATGAGCTTCTTCCCAGTTGTACCTGGAAGCGGATTTGTCGCCACAAAAGTTGTTATCTGTTTCGGCAGAGCCATTTTCTATTTTGCCAAAAGTGTCCAACCTGATGGTGGCAGACGGCTCAAGGGTTTCTTTGAGCCCCAGGCCTGCCGCCTCGGTGATGCTCCGCAGTTGCATACCGGCACGAACCTTTCGCTTTTTGCACTTTACTGTGGGAATCTCCCTGATGTTCTGTTTTTCGTCTTTGTGACCTGGCCTTGTCCTTTCTTGCCTTTTCTCTTTGACGCATTTGACTCTACCAAGGGTTACCCCGGTGAAGGACCTGCGCAAAAACCGTGGTCCATTATCTCGGCCAATGTGGGATCCGTCCCTTCCCATGATTCCGTGTTCGAGTGGGATGCCCCTTTCATTGCCCTTCAGGAGACTCGTCTCGAAGAACGAAACTTAGCCAAACAGCACGCCCGTGCTGCCGCTGCTAATCTTGACCTCATCCCGGGTCGTCCTCTTCCACGTACCACAGATGTCCGTGGGGTTAACCGTGCCCAAGCCGGTGGTGTTGCGTTCATTGCAGACGCTGGCACCTCCAGGCCTTTCTCTGCAGAAGAAGATGCCACAGGTCTTTGGAACACCGTGCTCTCCACAGCCAGGGTGTGTGCCGCGTGGGTCACCCCGACGCCTGGTGTGCAGTTTTTAGTTTTCTCCTTCTATGGCGCAAGTGGTGCCTCACAGGTTAAGTCCCTCCATGACTATAACACCGGCATTCTTGACAAAATTTTGCTTATCGCTGCCCAGTTTCAAAATTGCCCTGTTGCTATTGGTGGGGATTTCCAGGATGAACCCCGAAATTACTGCAATCTCGCGCTCGCCATTGAGTTAGGCTATTGGAGCGATCCGCTTGAATCTGTTGATGAGGATGACAACATCCTTCGTCCCCTCACTTTCGACCAGCGCAGTAATTGGGATGCTACCACTGAGGGAAAATCTTCCATTGACGGCATTTTGCTTAACGCCACTGCCACGGCCGCCTGCCGAGGTGCCTCCCTTATTTATAGTTGGGCTAAGCAGCATATCCCCATACGGGTCTCGTTCGATTGGGTCATTCTTGAAAAAAAGGGGTTTGTCATCGATAAACCCGCTTCTTTAAACCTTGGTGGCCTCCCATCTCAGACCGGCCCAAGGGATCATCCGCACCCGCTCACCGAACTTGCGGAAAAGTTGTGGCATTCTGAATATGCTGAGCGAGCTGAAGCGGCCAGTTCGTCTGCCCCTCATCTGTGGCAAATTTCGCACCAGTTTGCCCTCCACATTCTGCAAAGCGCTGGTGCCAAGTGGAATAGTGGGAAAAAGGTTAGAGGTGACCTACCTTCTTTCAAGGAAGATTGCCCCAAAACTTCCAGATGGACTAAACCCCATTCTTCCCTTTTGGCCAAAATCAAGGAAATGTGCATCAGACTTCAGCGGGGTATCAAACCCGGGCTTGACGAATCTAGGTTTGATTCTACATGGCAACGTGTGCGCAGGATGCTCCTGTCGCTGCTCCAGATTCCCACGCTGCCTGCGTGGCCTGACCTTCACAAGCTCGTCGAGTACAAAAACCATGTCTTAAACTGCATTTCAAGTGCGGCCCGCAGGGAAAAATGGCAGCCATCCGTGATTGGAAAAAGTTGATGAAGGATGCTGGATGTGGAAAGCAGCCCACCTCCAAAGCTCCTATCTTTAAATACTTGAAAAAACGTGCAATGGACAATTCCCCTAATGTCATCACTGACCTTCAGGGCGAAATAATCTACCACCCAGTCGACGCACTGGCCGTGTCCGCCCAGCAGTGGGACTCCGTTTTTGGTGCCCATGAAGTGCCCCCGAACCCCATGGCCCCTGTTAACGCCGCCTGGGACTGGATTGGCCGCCATAGGCTTCGGTGTATGCTCCCCGCTATCAATGAGGATCATCTTTATGAAGCCCTCAAAAGACGCGATTCCAGAGCAGCAGGAGGAATCGATGGATGGGCCACCATTGAGCTCCAATCCTTGCCTCCGTGTGCGTTCCGTCCGTTAGCTCTCTACTGCGCCGCGGTAGAAAATGGCTCAAGGGTCCCCATCGCAGCAGCCACCGCCCGGCAGGTCATGCTCCCTAAGAAAGGTGGCCATGCTCCCCTTGCCAAACGCTTAATCAGTGTGCTCCCCATTTTCTCAATCATGTATGCGAGCGCCCGGTTTGCTCACACCACTGCTTGGCAATCGCAGATTCTTCCGAAGCAGCTGTGCGGAGGGATAAAGAAAAGGCACGTTTCTTTGGTCACCCACAGGCTGAGGCTTGCTATTGACAACGCCCACTGCACTAGCGACCCGATCGTGGGAGTTCATCTTGATAAGGCTAAGTGCTTTGATAGATTGTTGCCGTCCACGGTGGGTGCAATTTGGCTTGCCCTTGGCATCCCCAAAAATCTTGTTACCTATATCATTGCCTTTTATCAGAGTTACCGCCGCGTTATCACTTGGAAAAAGTTTGCACATCCTTCTCTCCTTTCCTCAACGTGTGGCATGGCACAAGGTTGCCCACTGTCTGTGCTTGCGCTAAACGTGCAGATGGCTTGTTGGTCTGCCATGCTCAGCCAGATCGGCATCCCAGACCACGCCGCTTTCCTGGACGATTCTTACATGTGGGCAAAACTAACCCGCATTGAAACACTTCGCCGTGCTGTGACCATCACTGAAGTGTGGGACCTTCTGGTCGGCCAGAGCACTAACGCCGAAAAATCAGTCGCATGGGGTTCTTCTACCTCCGCCAGGAAAGCGATCAGAGACATTTTCCCGCACTTCCAGCACAAGCTTGAGATTCCCATGTTAGGTGCAACCATGCTCTCCTCGGAGCGAAATGCCTTTGCCTGGCAGGAAGAAAAGTCCAACAAGTTCCGCACTGCAGTCAAAGCCATAGGTGATCTCCCCCTGAATACGGCCGAAAAAGCTCACTTTATTACGGCCAAAGCCATTCCTATGATCAGCTATATTTCTGAGGTCAACCCGATTCCCAAGAGGGTAGGCGCCCACCTGCGTGCCTTGATCGCCGCGACGCTATGGAGGGGCCGGCCCCACTGGCGGTCCACCTTTCTCCTCCTTGGCTTGAAATTCAAGCCTTGGCAAGTTGATCCCTATTATGCCAGAGCAGTCCGGGCCATATTGGGAATCGTGAAATTTCTCAGGAGTGAACCTCATGCCTTCCACATGTGGACTGCCGTTTCGACCCATTCCCCAAAGCATTCGCTGGTTGCCTCTTTTCAGCTTGCCTGTGATCACTGTGGCATTTCCTTTTGTGCTCCTTCCAAAGTGACTTTCTTTGATTGTATCGCGGTTAATTTCCTCCAGTGTGACATTGCTGTGATAAAGAATTTGCTGTATAGAGCCATCAGAAATGTTGCTTATCAGTCGGCTTCAAAAGGACGCCGAAAGGATCTTACGGATCCTGTGAGCATCCTTGATTCTGACCTCACCTTGTCCTTCACCGCCAAGACATCCCAAAACCCCGACCGTGAGATGTGCTTTTCTGCAGTTGTCGGATGTACCCTCTCCGCTAAGCTTTTGTATAGTGCAGGGCTTATTCCCCATCCCAAATGCAGGTTTTGTGGAAGTGAGGAGGAGTCCCTTTTTCATTTAAGGGAATGCCCAAATTTAGCCAAGCGAATAGGACACGCCTCGTCCCGTGAGGACCTTGGCCCGAATTTCCTTTCGCATGGCATTGTTGAGCTGCCTGCTCAAGTGATCGCCCAACAGACACCGTGGTCTAATTTCATTAACTGCTGCGTCGTGCCTTACAGCGAGAGCGAACCTGTTCATTTGTGGACGGATGCCTCGATAATTGGCTCTGACCACCCGTGGACCCAGACATATGCCTTCGCTTGTGTTTCGGCGGACGGAACTATCCTTGACCAGGGATCCGGGTGCTCCGTCACCGCCAGCTCAGTCGCAGTTGAAACCCTCGCAATTTGGAGGGCCTTCGCAGGTGCCTCCTCACCAGTTACAGTTTCCACAGATTGCAAAGTTGCGGTCGACTCTTGGAAGACTATCCTTGCAGGCAACACAGTGCCCCATGCCACGTGTTGCTCCGATATCTGGAATAGAGTGCTTTTGCTTTTCCACTCTAGGAAAATTTCTCAAGATCCCCTTCTTTTGAAGTGGGTTAAAGGCCATGTGGGGGAAGGTCTCTCCCCTGAGCTTGTTCCCCAAAATCTCCTTGACGCTTTTAGCATTACCTCAAATGATATTCGGGGAAATAGAAATGCCCACGATGCGGCCCGGTCTGCCGCTATCAATGCGCGAGGAGTTATGTTTTTCCCCTCCGAAGCCACCCGGGCCGAAATTAGCCATCACCATATTTGGCTTAGCCGCCTCAACACGGTGCTCAGTGAAATCGCTCCTGATGAAAATCCCGAAGAGGACCCTCAGTTGATCACCGACGCACTTGCGCCAGCCAACATTCCTGTGCGCCAATCATATCCCAACTGGCCCTGGGATTTCCGGCTTGAAGAAGCTTGCTGGGTCCCAGCTGACATCCCAGATGTCCCGCCATATAGAATTCGGAAAACTGTCCCTACCTGGGCTAAGACTAAAGCCTTCTTTCAATCTCTTGCCTGGGCTGAAGGCCCCGAGCTCAACACCTCGGCAGTTGAGCTGGCAGTTGCTTTTGTCTTCTGGGCCTGGGACACACCTGCATGCGCCTTTCCTCCTTGTGCTGGCGTCTTGACTCTTGAGATAGTCATCCAGTGGCTTAAATACCTCTTGTCGGTCTTGCACCGGAAACTTCATGGGGTGCTTCACCCCGGGTCTTACTGCTGTAAGTACCATAGGAGTGTGCACGTTAGGTTTCCGGACGGCACCATCAAAGGAGCCCGTCTTTGGCTTCCTGTACAGCAACTTGAAGCCATCGCCCGCCTGGCTATGCTAGGCGGCTCTCTTTCGACCAAATCTTGGTCCTTCCCACTTCATCGGGTGCTTTCTCCCCGTTGAGGTGATCGCCTCTTTTCACTGGTAGGCCCGGAGAGCCCTATCCGTATCGCGAGCGCGTGTGAGAGCCAAGAGGAGATCTAGGAACAGATCAACCTGCGTCCAGCGTATCCGAGGGCGACGCCCAAACCACAATAATTCAATACCAACTGCTCCTAACCCGTGACTTGTTTTCTGAGCCCTTCATTTTGCTCGGGGCTTTAGAGGAAAGCAGATATCGCTACTTGCTGGAGAAGTGTTTGCTTTACTTGCTTGACGGCCCAGAAACTAGGAAGTGATTTGGGGCTGGCACAAAGTGAATCCGCCGGAGGGGAGCGCTGCTCGCCCGTGTAATGTATGGATTGAATGCGCGACGGAGCGTGGCCTTGCTTGATTGGCGCAGAATACTCTTAGAGTTTATACTTTTGGGAAGAACTGTTTTAGGGATAAAAACAAGTTCGAACATCTTGGGTAACCTTTTCGGTTTTGTGTGTTCGACGGCAACAGATCAGGTCAGTGGAAAGTCAGAGGCAGGCAAACAACGCGCATCCAAGCCTTATAATTTCAACTCAGCGCTCTACTTTTTCTGCTATCAACCGTTATGAGCCACTTTCGGGGAAGCCGTGCACTTGGTGAAGGCTGTGACTACGTGGAGGCAAATACATTTGATTCTTGAGAAGAATGGTTGCCGCTGCATGACCATCATTACATTTATGTACTGATATTTACTGCAACTGATTCTATCAATAAGGTCGGCTGGTGGCCCCCGACCCCCGACCTTTCTCGTGGAATACCCATGGCCGGTGTCCCATTTTTTTCTTACCTTTGGCAAGACGTGAGTCGTGCACATGCATGCCTGCCATCGCGATTGAGCCACGCGATGCTCCGAGTCTTTGCCATCCGCGCCGCCCCGCTTTGGGGCCTGGCACTTAAGCGGCCTTTGCAGGGGTGGTCCGGCGGTAAGGGAAACTGATCCAGGTCAGAGTGTGGGTCCAAGCTTGGGTTTCCAAAAGGAAACAGCATGAGACCAAATTGTGTTATCAAAGTACTGCTAATTTGAATCAAACGCAGTCATTTGAAATAGATCCTTGGGGACCATGCCGTTTTGACACCTTCCTGTTTGTGCCTCTTCAAGGCCAGTCCAGGTCCTTTGCTTCCTGTTTTTGTTCGTGGCCGTCCGTCGGGCCACCCAAAAGGCCCAAAGAGAGTGTTGTCTCACCCGGGCAAGTAAACAACAACCCACGGTGTGGAGCTAGTCTTTTCGGGACATTTTCCAGTGCATGCCATGTTATGTTTTACTTCGAGCCCCACAAATCTGAAATCTGAAAGCGTGTTCATCCTGTTTCCTCACGACTTGCGCATGGGAAGGAGCTCAATAGGATGCTGATGGAGATGTCTCCCCCTTGTCACAATTTGCCGCTCGCTCCGCGCAGTCAGGGTAGTTTTCGCGTCGGTGGTCAAATGATGCCTGGCATTGGTTCCATACCTGGTCGGTGATGGGGTTTTGTGCCTTTTTCAAGGGGGTTGCTTGCTGTGCCTAGCGAGGGACATGGGCTGAACAACCAAAGAGAACCCGAGAGGGCACACATGCTTCTTCGTTTCACATTTGTTTGTTGAATAACCATCAGGATAGACAGAGTCGCGTGACTGATAATTGTGCAAGGTGTGCCGGCTAGTTCAGTGTTTGCGGAGTATCGCTAGTCACCAGGCTCCGGCGTTGCCGCGAAGATTCTGTCAAAGACATCCATGAATTGAAGCGCCAACCCAGCACGGAATTCATTCGCGTGCGGAGATGGGGAGAAACTCTCTAGAAGAGCAGATAGTTATAAACCCCAATAAGTTGACACAGGATTGTTCGTCCCAAGATATCCCTGCCCTTGCTCCCTGCGGCGCTGAATTTGCCCTCACAAGCTAATCATAGTCACTCTTCGGGGGATGGGGTCGGCCATGCAATGTGCATCCGAAGAACCTGATTTTCCACCACGGCCTCTCGTGGCACGAGCGTGTTGACCTTCAGACGCCATGGTCATTTCGCAGGGTCTCTGCCATGAGTAAGACAAGTCCATTGGAAGCAGCATACTTCGTGTCTCCCAAACTTGCCGGGCTCTCAGCTTGCAACAACTTGCATGTGATCGCAGGCTGAAGGTGGGGTAAGAGCAGTGCTGTTGACACAAGGAGCAATGCCAAGGCAAGCACTTGTAGCGGAAATGTAAGTACTCGATACCGACAGGTCCTCGATTTTTGCGCAACTATCCATGTCATCAGCAATCCAGCAGCGAGGCACCCCCAATCCGTGTTGGGGTCCACCAGCCCCTGACAAAAACCAACCCGGACTCGTTCAAATGTTCCAATCCAAAGCTGGGGCATAGCTTGGCCCATCGGTTTAGACTCACGGACTCGCCCGATTTGCTGAAGTCCCGCCCATGGCGGTGCGGGACCCGGGCCTTGGGCGGGGGAGATGCTTCGGCTTCGTTTGCTGCCGGGTTTGCAGGTCGCACTTACGAATCTGGATGCTCAGAGGGTTGCTGGGTTGATGGTTTGCACACCTCCGCACCTTTGCTTTTGCGTGGCTTGGCGTGAATTCTGGTTTGTATAACGCCCTCCTAGCAATCCCAGTGATTTCAGCAGGCTTCTGATTTTGTTTGCACAGGCGAAGCTTGCAGTTTTGAAACTAGGCAACACCAAAAACAACAGCGTCTTTGCGTTAGGTTTTGCAGGAAACCACTTGCATCGATCAAGAGCCTTGGCCCGAGCGTATTCTTGTGGCTCCTCCACAGGTTAACATGGAACCCAACAGGGTATCGCCCACAATGAAATGCCTCCACGAAGTGGGTATGGATCCAACCTAACCACCAGGGGACCGCAGATTTCAGTCCTACCTATTTTGACCCACAGCCAAGTGTAGCCAACTCGCTAGTTGATGTCATGCGACGCTCGGACAATCACCTTGACAGGGTGGATGCTGCCTCTCAACTTGGTGGCCTATTTTATCAGAGATGCTACTGGTACACAGCTCTGCCTGAAGGTTTGCTTCATTTGTTTGCGTATTTGAAGTCAGGCTCCAGTCGCTGCTTGACATGTTGTGTTGGCTGCCTGGCTTTTCTGCTCTACTGGCGAGTGGCCAACAACAAAGGGAATCCCGGATCTCCCGGCCGCCTTTCCATTCCGTGTGAAGGCAATTAGATAGGGAGCAGGTTCTCAAGTTGTCCGAGCCCAGAGCCCACTGCGTATAGGCATCCAGCATCATCCAGCCATGTTCCTTGTGTTTACAGCGTGGTTCTTTGGGTTGCCTACACAGGGAACCTTCCTCACTGCGAAAAACCTTCGCCATGTGTCGCGTTTCATCGGATGATACTTTACTGGAGGCCACACTGGCCCATTGTTTTGTACGATTTGACTCTGCACCTCGAAAGAGCACCTTGTTGTGGCACTCTTCCATTTCCCCCGGTCATTTTTCCCTTCTACATCCGGCAAACCAGAAGGTGCGGTGTTAATCCATGGGCAAATGCAGGAGGCATGTCCTCAAGTTTGGTCCCCTCCGCCCCGTTACGTTTGGCAGGGCTTCCAGGGTTTACCTTTCGACGTCATTTGTGAAAGCGAAAGGACCCCCCAAAGTGTCGAAAGCCTCTGAAAGCTCCCTGTTTATTGAGTTTTTTCTGAGGAAGTCCAGAAGCAGAATCCCTCCGATTCAACCCCTTTTTCCAGCAATGGAAGCTAACAGGAGGAATTGGGAAGAGTCCTCTTGGAAAGGCCTCTGTTGAGCATCTTTCATTAATGCCAGTGAGTGGAGTAAGGCGACTTGTAGCTCACATGTCATCTTTAGCCTCGCAGGACAACATGAGAGCGCTAACTTTCAACCATGCGGCTTCAGTCAACACAATCCAGCAGTGAATTGTGAATGTGGGAGACATGCACCAACAATCAGGGGGGAACCATTTCCCATGTGGGTTTGTCGCCAACTGACAAGGGAACTCGCTTTTATCTTGCTGTTCACAAACTAGGCCCATCCAGTTTGCATGATGGGTTTGCCAAATGCATCATTTTGATGCTGTCCAACGGGAGACTTACTCAATTTCTGATGGAACCAATGTATGGGTATGTGTTAAAGGGAGGGGAACCCAAAATGACAGGGACTTCCTTCAGTTTTCCTTCAATCCAACCTAAAAAGGGCCTGCAAACAGCCCACTCCCAAACAAGACGGCCTCATTGGTAGTTTGGATGAGTTTGGATGAGTTTGGAGGTGCTAAAGGGTGGTTGTCCATTTACCCACAACCAAGGCTTCAAATCCCCAAACCAATCCAAACCCCAAACCGCGGGTGTGCTACAACAGTATCCACGTCTCAAATGGAGCTGGGAATCATTTTTTCTTTGGAACCGCTTAGACCGACTTCGCCGGATCCGAGGTGGCCACATGGCTAGCAGCGATTTGTGCAGCGCCCTCGAGTGGAGAATGCGACGAGATCATTCGAGTTCTCTTCTGGGCCCGGAGTAGTAATTGAGCACTTGGGCACATTTTGTTGGGGGTACTGCCCTTGAAACTGGCATCTACAGGATAAATTGGAGGATGCTGCTGTAATCCATCCAGATGGGTGTTTCTCAAAAACGCGGACCACCTTTTGGCTGTTTTCAAAAAAAAAGCTGGAAGCCAGCCACTTGAAGGGGTCCGATTCCTATGTAATCTTGAGAAACGTCCAAATGCCACTTTCCCCCAACAGCAACTCGCCGACTCGCCGGGCAGGTTGCGAGCTTCTGGGAATACCCCTTTCTGCTTGTCCTACAAATCCGCTGGCCCTGGGCCCCCGCTTTTTGTTCTTCGCATGTCCTTGGGGGCCCAACCTGGAATATGAGCTTCGCGTTGGGAGGATTCTATGATGCAAAGGACATCTAGATGGTCAACAGCATGGATCCTTGCAATCAGGGTCGCAAGCGTAGCGTCAAGGGATCTAGATTGTTCTGATAAGCGTCGGGTCGCAAACAGGGTCCCTGTTTGTTGGCAACCGGCCGGACTCAAACAGCTCCGTCACTGAAAATAAGCGCCTGCACATGATGATGACCCAGTTTGGCTTTCAAGACCCCCACCTCATTCCAACAGTGTACAGCTGGGCGCAAGTAGATGGCACCCTTTAGGTTTTGTCATCCCCTTTGCCGGGCATAAAGGGAATAGTGCCAGCTGCTTTCGGCTAAACAACTAAGCAATTGCACACATCATCTTCTGATCATGGCCTTTGACTTTGGTTTTCACCCCCCCCCTTTCCATTCATTGAGCTGCTAAACAGTACCCTCACCCACCAACAGCACAAGAACTGAGGGCGCAGCTGCAGTGCTGCTACTGGTGTGCTACGCACAGTGCCCCAGTGAAGAAGGGGCCGGACCAACAGCTGCAAGTTCAGGCCGGTATGTTGGGTTCATTTTGGTTGGGGTATTGAATAAGTACCTACGCTTGGGATGTCTGCGTTCGGTCAAAACGGTTCTGTAGTTGTTTGCTACCCTTTGAGCAATCGGGCCTTTGGTGAAACAAGAAACACCCTTGAGGCAAGGTTGGCATGGACCCCCCACTGGATGTGCGCTTCAAGAGTTGATGAGTCTGCAGGCGGGATCCACTGAAACTGCAACTTTGGGTCCTCAAAGAGTTGTCCCCCGCCAATTCCCGAAGTGGTAGGCTGCATGGACATGTCCGTTTCCGGTTTCTGACCCTGACCACAGCCGCAGTTTCACGCTACTGGTGGGGAAGATCCGGCAAGGGGTGCCAGAAGCAGAAAGAAGCTTGGCTCCACCGATTCAAGATTACAATTAGTTTGGGGTTAAGATACATGTCGTATTGTTGGTGACACGAAGTGAGGCAACAAATCAGATAATCAACAGTATAAATGATTTTGCCACCGGGAGTTTGTCCAATGATCTGTCTCTGAGTTGTGCAAATACGGGGGTCAGCGAGCAATGGACATCATCCGGTTGATTGGTCGATATTTTTTTTCTCCATCCGTGAATGTGCAGGGCTACCTTCAACTGCGGGCAGCACAATGTTACCTTTCACAATGCAAAAGGCTTGGAGAGGATCTTTTACTTGTTTGACCCATTTTCATTTTGTACGGACCCTGTTTGAACCTTCTCGAGCCCTTTGCAGTGGCTGGAGAAAGACCCATGTGTCAAAACTATGGAACTCATTTCCATTCCCATGTGTTCGGGAGGCCGACAGCCACGCGGGCCTTTGCGTTACAAGTCCCATGATTGTGGGGAGACTGGACCAGTACGTGCTGAAATGTCGTCTTTGGGGATTTGGCAGTGGCTCAAAAACAGGTACCAAAATGGTCCCTTGGTAAATGGAACCAAAGACTAAAACCTGCGTAACCCTAGCTCTTGAAATTTGAGCCACACCCATTTGAAGACAGAACGGCATGACATTTCTTCAAAGTGTTTGATTTCCCGTTAAGCCTGCGAAATCTTGAACTGCTCGGGCGAGCACTTACTTTGCTTGAGCAAATTATTGTGAGGTCCCGACTGGTGGAGTTCCAAGTAGAACAGTTAGACGCGTTGCAACGGATGTAGGCAAAGTTTCCGGCCAAAGAAGCAGAGGCCCTAGATAAGAAAATGGAGGAACTATGGGTTTCCTGTATTTGAGGATGTTTGGTGGCTGGTTCGCTTGCCATTCATTTTGCGCGTCTACCTTTGGCTCTTTGGTTCTTTTCTGAGTTGTAAATTGCGTGTGAAGTGGTGTCACTGCCCAAGCTGCCATAGGAACACGAGTCGGAATTACGCATCCTCTGGATTTTGCAGGCTTCCCCAGAAATGCGCGCCTTCTCAAACAATTGAGAATGCACTGTGACCCTGGGAAAACCACGTGACCAAGAATCAGGTACCTCTCAGTAGACTTGGGCGCCGTGCGTTTCCAGGGCCATGGTGCCCTCTCCATTTTCCCATGTTACTTTCTTTCTTGAAGGCACGGTCTGGGGGTCCAGACCCTCGAAGGAGGCCCATGCACCAAAATGCCGATGAACCGCGACGTGGATCTGTGTCCCGAAGCTGAGCCATGGCCAATGCCCTCAGGTCCTCCTCTCAAGCACAGCGAGGCGAGAGAGAACACTTGGGGCGGAAGGCTGCGCCATTAAAACGCGGTGAATGGATAAAGATGCCTAAGGTTTGCGTGGTACATGAGGATAAGCTGCATTGGAGACATGAGTCTGAACAAGGATTCTCAGGTAAATGAGATAGCTGAGAATTCTAAGCTTCACGAGGTACATAGAGTCGATGAGGTTGCTGAACTGTACACGGTAACAGAGCAAGGTTTAGGACGTTTAAGAGGTACATGAAGGTCTGACTTCCATTGGCAATCAACCCGTACGTGTACCTTTCTTGAGGAAGCCCATTGCCATCGCCTCGCGAATACTTTGACCATGGCAAACATGGGTATGTTATTGCGTCAACACCAGGAACGTTTGCTGATGTCATCGGCAAAGGCATGCTCCCATTCGGATCGACTTTAAGCTGCGCCCGCGCCACCCCTTTGGACGCTTGGTTTGAAGAAGACCCAAAGGAACTCAATGGAAACCCAAAGGAAGCCAACGAAACCGAACAGAAACGACAGATCGACTGGACACCTAGTATTTGAGGGGTCGAAACGATTTTGAGACACCGAGATGTCGAGTGCTTGGCAGGGACATAGGGATCCCTAAATTCTCAGAGCAGCCAGAGGACTCGGGCAGATCAAATGAGCCACTTGCTCACAACCCGGCTAGATGAAGGTTGGTAAGGGACAATCCCAACCATGAATAGCTGCGGCCGCCTTCTTAATTCTTTACGTGGTTCTGGGTAGACCATTTTGATACCGGGTTTTGATTGTGACCATAATGGTGGTTGTTCCCTTGGCTTCCCAAAACCAGAAAATGTCGAGACGCGCAGGAAGCCCAAGAAGTCCAAGAAGAAGCGCGAGCCGGCCATCCAGGAGGACCGGTTGGCATGGAAGCCCCACTGAATAAGCCACCGATTGGTGCAGGAGTTTGTCCATATCAAAGGCTGGGCGGTGGAGCTTTCAAGGCATTGGCAAATCCGTTGAAAAAGAGGGGTGGTTCAGCAAACCTGGTTTGGGGGCCAGACTTCTTTCGAACAACGCTGCTCTTTTTGGAAGGGTTCAAGTTTCGCGGCCAGACCTCGTTTGGACAACTCTAATGTATTTGGAACGGTTTAAGTTTCGCATGTGTCCTTTCTGTGCATTGGCTGTATTGGTGGAAGGGTCATGAACATGTTGCCCTTTTCTTGTTGGAGCTAGTGTGTTAAAGCATATTTTGCTCTACATGAAGCAAGGGAGGTGGTGGTTTACCGGACTTTGTTCAGTCCAATGCTAAATTCTGGGGTGATAGGATTCTGTTGTGTTTGTTTGTTTTCTTGAAGGGTGATGGCACAATTCAGCTTCCCTCCAAATTGGTGGTTGGGATTGGTGGTTTTGTGGTTAAGGAGGGGGGTCCCATTTCTCCTCTACAAAAGACAGGGGTTCAAATCCAAACCACCAACTGAGGGTTACCTGATAAAATGTTGGATTGTAGTTTCAACCCTCGAATGTGAACAGCCCAGTTCTTCGACTTTCAGCGTCCGGGTGTGAGCAACTGCCCTCCATAGGGGCGATGTAGTGGATCTGCGTGAATCTCCTTGGGTGTAGTTGACCCTCCTGGGCAAGTTTCGGGGAATGAGCGCGTCCGCACGGAACTATGTGTACGCGGCACGTGGCGCTCATTGCGCTCCCAGGTCGTCTTGAAGATCGGGCTGCTTGAGCAAACCAATGGGCTACAGCTCAAATCCCCCAACGACTCCAAACCACCAAGCACGGCCAGC